GGAAGGTAAAGCAACACAAAGGTAAAGTAGAAGGAGTAGAAAGGCGCAGAAAGTGTCAGCAAGGAGCTGGAAAGAGAAGCAAGGAGCAGGAATGGACAGAAGGAACACAAAGGTAAAGTAGGAGAAGGAACAGAAATGAGCAGGAAGGGACATCAAGGAGCAGAAAAGGGTCAGCAATTAGGTGGAAGGGGCAGAAGGAGCACAAACGTAAAGTAGGAGAAGGAGCAGAAATTAGCAGGAAAGGTCAGCAAAGAGCAGGAAGGGTCAGCAAGGAGCAGGAAGGGTCAGCAAGGAGCAGGAAGGGACAGAAGTAGCACTAAGGTAAATTAGGAGAAGGAGCAGAAAATGGTAGCAAGGAGCAGAAAGGGTCTGCAAGGAGCAGAAGGAGAAAGGAGCAGAAGGGTGCAAAATAAGCAGAAAGTAGCAAAAAGGTAAAGGAGCCAAGGAGGAGAGAAGACAGTGTCAGAAGAAAAAGAAGACTGTGTCAAATGAAGGAGAAGAAAAGGAGATTGGAGCAGGAAGGACAAGTGAAGTGAACCCTCCACTTTATTCTTGACTCCACATCATAAGGCTTTGGTACCTGGGCCTGGCAGGGAAACTTTGAACCTTCTCATCTCCCCAGGTAAAAAAAAAAAAAATATATCAGTATTAATGTGTTCACTTTTATTTACTGAGTGTCAGGAAGCACAGAGTGCCGCTGGGTAGGGGTGTTGCTGATTGGCTAGAGCGGTCAGCTGGCACTCTAAGCCAATCAGTAGCTCTCCATTCATAAAAAAGTAAAACATTTTTATGAACCGGGGAACTAGCGATTGGCTTAAAGCGTCAACTGACCACTCTAGCCAATCTGCAACACCCATGCCTGACGTCAATCTGCATTTCCTGAGACTCCGTTTCAGAAGCCGAATACCACTGAGTGACCTGGAGATCTGGAGCTGGAGGAAGCCTTTGGGGTTAAACCATTTGAGTGCGGTTTAACCCATAAAAGGAAAGAGAGCACCCAGGGGCTTCCTGGCATCATAGCATTTTCATTTAGATGAAGTTGTTATGGTGACCAGAATGTTCCTTTAATTTGATTAAAGAAAAACTATAGTGTCAGGAATACAAACATGTATTCCTGACACCATAGTTGTGAAAACACTATATACCCGGGCTTTATGTGATAATGACTATGCATCTTCGCTTTCATGACACTGTCAAAAAGGGACCAAGCATGGATGTCATTACCATTATGCCCCTCCCCTGGAAAAATTCCTGCGGACACCCATGATTCCATCCCCTTTTTCTGGCGTCAATGACAGAACTTTGAATCGCTAATGTAACAAAACTGTTGCTTATAGGACTCTGTAGTGCCAATCAGCGTGAAATGCCTGCAGAGGCTTTCAGCCCACACTGCATAGTAGCTTTGTAGGAGAGTCTTTCACTTTGGGACACATAGCCCGTAAGAGGACGGTTAGACAATGTGCAGGGGTGGCATCCCTCCAGCCCTGGATCTTTGTAGGAGCCAACACAACTGAGCCACGGACTTGGGGGCTCTGCAAGTCTGAGTCCTTCCCGGGAGTGGGATTGCGCAAAGTCCTGATGGTGTTCTGCCGATGCAGGTCAGCAGGCCTCCACTTTTGTGGATGGTGTTTCCTGGGCAAGCCCTTGGTGGCCCTCAGTCCATGCGGGCGTTCTTTGGGGGAGACAGGAGTGTGCTTGCTCAGAGGGGGCCTTCTCCACACTTTCTTCCGATTCTGCTTTGCCGGTGTTGCGGATGAGAAGGTGGGGGTAGCAATGTGTGCCCTCAGCTCAGCCCAAAATCTGGCAAATATAACCTCCAGCAAGGTCATTTAGCCGCTTAGGTTGCCAGGTTTCTCGGTAGGTGGATGCAGTGTACCTCAAGGTGCATGTGTGAGTGCTTCTGCCATCTTGGAGCTGTGCCGTCTAGCGTTTCCCACCATGCTTCAAAGGCCACCGTGCAGCAGGTCAGCGGGGACCGGGATTACCCCCACTGGTCCAGAGGGGGGAGGTAGGAGCGTGGGTGAGTAACTTCAGCTTGTGGAGCAGGGAGAGCAGCCGTCTCCCCAAACCCCGTCTTAGTAGGCCTCAGGCTCTCGATGACAGAGTAGTCCGAGTGTGGTGTCTATCAAGTCAGTGGGTTGTCCCCTGGGTGATAGGGGCACAAGAAGCTGTGTACAGGCTGGTTGCCCGGTTGGAACCCCTGATTTAGAGCTGAACTTGCCGGACCTCACTTTCCGTGTGTCTGGTTGGCTTGGCGGTCAAGCTCCACCCCCAGTAAAGGGAATATTTTGAGAGGAACCTCCATGTAAATCTGAAAGGTGGACCTGATAAGAGAGTGCTCAGTCTCACAAAAGGACTGGAATCAAACACGTGGCATTAAAGAAAAAGCACCAGTGGAGACTGGTTTGTAAGGTCTGGTGTGGAAGCACCTCTTCTATAAAAACTATACCTGTTTTGGTGAAATTGCTATTCTTAAAACAATACCTGAGCTAGAGTCAAAAAAACAAGTTGATGACTCCCTCCACAGAGCCCCACCTCTGCCCCTTTCCAATTCCACCACTTAACATGCCTTTTAGCACACTCACAGTTACTTACAGACACAAATACAGATATACCCACAGGCATAGACACACTGACAAGTACACAGAGCCACAGAGAGATACACAGATGTGTATACACAGGTACAAACAGACACACACAAGCACACTCTGACACAGACAAGAAAGGAAGAGAGTGAGAGACAGAAAACAACACACACAAAGAAATAGAGACAGACTCATATGTGTCCTGGGAGACGTCAGGTCTTTATTATTTGAACAAATTTCAAGATTCATAAGGTGCCACTGCCAGGATTGGGTTTCACTCACACAGTGTGCCAGAGGAAGTCAATTGCAGACTGTCATCATGAAGGTGGCAAAGGAGACACCCCTATATAAATTATTTTTGTCCGTACTGTGTATTTTTGAAGATCATAAACTGTCCTTTTACCATAATCTTTCTAACTCTACCCTGCTCTGGTGATACAGATAGTAAGAATAGATGGCGGGCACCAAGATCTTTAACTGTGGGAACGGAGGGCAAAGTGGTCAAACTGGTCAATGCGTTGGAAGCATCCATGTTATTGCAAACTCTGGGAATGTCCTTGCCAGCTATTACCACAGAGAAAGACGTATCGCGGCCTATCTGGGATGTGGACATCATTCTGCCTTTTTTTCCTAGTACCATTAAGACTTGACTCTTGTATCTCATAGATCAATATCCTGGCCATTTTTCTCATACTTTCTCTATGGGACCCATGGTTTGCAGAATGCTAATGTCTAATTTTACTCTTACTTTCAACATTTTAATTACTCTAACTTAATTCTGTCCATACTTTCATCCACTCCCCCTCCCATTGGGCTTTTTTGGATGTGTAGTGCTGTTTTAGCATGATTATTTTTTTGTTATTTTGAACACTTACAAAAGGCCTAATCTAATCTTATCTGAAGCAGAATCCTCCAAAGAGTTCTCGTGTTTTGACTGCTTGTTCATTACTGCAAAAAATAGAAATATGATGTTTTGCATCACTATATAGGTATCCTGCTGTATTTCGTACCTTATTGTTTATACTGTATCAAAAAGAACAGGGGCATCCATGCGGAATCAGACTGTTTTATGTTTAGATTAATTGAAAATATCTTTGAAAAGCTGAAGAGAATAGAAAATTATGTTTTGGGAATAAATGAGAGCTTCTCATGTTTGCTATGGCAGCTCAGAGGCTGAAATACTTCTTTGCTAACAAACTTATTTTACCTTGGTGCCTACTCCAATGTTTAATTCAAAAGAGGTGTCTTTTATGCCTCTTCTTGCCATCGACTCCTCCTCCTCCAAAAAAAGAGAACAGATCCTTAAATAACTTCATGTGTTCAATTTTCAATATCCTGATTTCTGCATTGTGTTAGATCAGTCATTGGCATTCATGTGTAAATATTTGTTTCTGCGATAGCTTAAAAGAGCTCAGTTGGGGACGCTCATTCAAATGTAAAGGGACACTCCAGACCAGGGGCGGATCCTATATTTGGCACTGCACCCCCTCCCCCCAGCTTAAAAATGTAAAAAAACACCCGCAAATTTTTAAAATGTATTTAGCACCGAGCAGTGTTTGTGTGTTTGAATGTAAGCATGTTTTTGTAAGGAGTGAATGTACGGATGTGTTTGCACGTATTTGCATTTGAATGCAGGCGTGCATTTTTCTGTAGTGTGGTTTTTGAATATGGTGGTGTGTTTTTATGTAGTGTTGACATTTGGATGCAGAGTTGTATTTGTGTGTAGTGTAGGCGAAATGCTGAGATTTATGCACATATACACACATGCAGTTACATAGAAACACAGCCATGTGGGGCGCCCTAAATTATGTTGGGACCGGCCGCTGCAGGGCCGGCCCTTTAAATGCTGCAGCCGCCTGAGTGCTCTGTTAAGAGCCCTGGCGCGGCCAGTTATTTTCGCATGGAAGGCCATTGTTCACTGGCCGATTGATAGGAAGCAGTGACACTTCCTGTCAGTCCGGGCCGGGAAACAAAACTGGAACAGGAGAGTTTCCTGTTTTCTAACCTATCGGACTGACAGGAAAGGCGCACACTCCTTCCCATCAGTCCGGCCGGCACCGCGCACAGCAGAGCAGCTCGGCCACGCTACAGGGGAGGGGGAGGGAATTAAGAAGAACACAGAGAGGAGGGTGGAGGGAGTGAGTAGAACAACACAGGGAGGGTGGAGGGAGTGAGTAGAACAACACAGGGAGGGTGGAGGGAGTGAGTAGAACAACACAGGGAGGGTGGAGGGAGTGAGTAGAACAACACAGGGAGGGAGGGGGCTGAAAAGAATACCGGAGGTTTGGGGGTGGGGGGTGGGGATGAGAAGAGCACAGGGAGGGTGAGTGGGTGTGAGAAGTGACTGCTAGGGAAGGGGGGGGAGGGAGAGACCACTAAGGGGCAGGGGAGAGCTCTATAGGACAGGGGGCAGGACAGGGAGCTCTTTCACACTACGCGCGCACACACACACACACACACACACACACTGCATCCCTATACATACACAAACACAAACACACAATGCATCCCTACACACACAGAGAAACACACAATGCATCCATTACACACAAAGACAATGCATCCTTTGCACACACACAGAAACACACAATGCAAACAGACACACTGCTTCTCTTACATATACACAGAAACACAATGCATTTCATACACACACACACACACACACACACTACAGACACACACCTTGCATCCCTTATGCATACAAACACAGATTCACACAATACATTGCTTATACACAAACACACACTGCCTCCACTACAAATACAAAGCATTAGCTACACAAACTGGTATCCCTATACACTACATACCATAAGCACACACATTACACATCCCCTACACACTCCACTCCTTGTGAGCGAACTCATGGGTGGAACATGTAGGTGGACTTTTAGGTGGGCCTTATGGGCATACTCACCGTCAGGCCCTGGGACCCAGACCTTGAGCTGTTTAAGGGGCCCCCCCAAAAAATGGAGCTGCTTCCTATTCTACTTGAACTTTGAATTTTGTGACCACAGTTACAAACAGCCTTCAGAGATCCTCTTCTACACCAGACCAGTGGAGCCAAACCGCAGCCCATCATCATCCTCATCTGGTTGTAAGTAGGCAATCTAGTATATTATTAGTGACACTAATCTATAATTTACCTCACATTAAAGGGACACTATAGCTTAATGAAGTGGTTCTGGTGTCTATAGCCGGTCCCTGCATGCTTTTTAATGTAAACACACACTGTGTGCAGCTTTGGCATTAGTTCATATGGCAGATTATATAGGTGGGGCATTGTGATGTCACATGGGGGGGCAGCTAATTTTTCCTTTGCCTAGGGGAGCAAAAATCCTTGCACCGGCTCTGATCCTGGGCAGGTGCACCAGTCTACTGGTGACCCACAGGAAGGGATTGCACTGTACTCTCCTCCTGCCCAGACCTGTCTTTACCACAGTGCAAGTGCCCTCTGCCCCTAATTTACAGTGGCTCACACTCACAGCAAGCAGTGCCTGGAGCCCTTTGCAGCGATGGGAACTAAGAGGTTCTGCGGCAGGTGGCCGTCCTGCAAGCATTACATTAAACAGCTGTTCCCCATGCAGCCACAGGTGGGGCTGTGCTGGGAGAATGTGATTACTCTTCACTTCCTCCCAGCCTACAGCGCAGCGCATGGGAGAGGGAGAGGAGGAGGCATGATTTAATCTTACAACAAATCCATTAAGCAAATCTTTGGGGGGGAGGGGGAATCAGCTCTGTTTGCACAGTTTATTGGTGTTTACTCTGATGTCTATTAATATTGAGGGATTTCTAAGTAGTAACATCAGTGTGTGTCAGCAGGGCCAGCCGTTGGGGTGTGCAAGCTGTGCAGTCACGCAGGGTGCCATGACAACAGAGGCGCCCGGCGGCCAACACAGCTCACAAGTTGGGGACCCCAGCATATTCAATTTAAATGATTCGCTGGTGGTCCACTGGTGCGCACCAGCAGTAGGTGCAGTCAGATTATAGCCTCTCCCTCGTGGTTCCGGCGCTCAGTTAGTGAGTCAGAGCACAGGCTCAGAGATTCTCAGCCTGCGCTCTGACAACATTGAAAGTCAGAGCCGTGAAGGAGCGGGTATGGCAAAGAGCTACTGATTAGCATAACATCAATATCCGTTATAAAACCAGGAAAAGGTGGGCATGGATGGTGAACTGATTTGGTGGTGCAATGGGCCACTTGACTGGTTTTGCCCCCCCAGGCCTAAGGCTGCCAGCCCTCCCCTGCATACACAGATACAGACAAACACTGACACACACACATACAGACACACAGATACAAACACAGATACACATACACACACTGGCACATACACCAACACACATACAGATACACAGACACACATGTATAAGTGTGTGTCTGTGTGTGTTTGTATAGTGTATGTAGTAGTGTGCTTGTATAGTGGGTGATGGTGAGAGGAAGGGGGAGTGATGGTGAGAGGAAGGGGGAGTGATGGTGAGAGGAAGGGGGAGTTATGATGAGAGGGAGGGGGTGATGATGAGGGAGGGGTGATGATGAGAGGGAGGGGGGGTGATGGTGAGAGGGAGGGGGGGTGATGGTGAGAGGGAGGGGGGAGGATAGACTAACTACCTTAATTCCCTGGTGGGCTCCCTGGTGGTCTGGTGGCCATAATATCTGGTCTGCAGCTCCGCAGAGTTGCAGACCATGAATCTCGGGAGATCCATTCAGAGCGTTGCCGCGCTCTGATTGATCAGATCTCGCGAGACACATGGTCTGCAGCTCTGCACACTGCAGAGACACACCGGTGTCTGCGATGGGCGCAGGAGGGACATCTCACCCGGCGGCATATCGAGCAAGCTACCGGGCCATCTCCTGGTGTCGGGCCCTCTGTCAGTGACCCAGGACCCGACACAGTCTGCCCTGGGCACCCCCCTAGTGAGTGGCAACGGGGCCTTAGTACGCCACTGCTCCAGACCCCCAAAGCACTTTAGCTTGCTGAAGTGCTTTATGTGCGAAGAGTGTGTCCTTTTTTTCATTTTACAAAAAGAGCCGATATCAATAGAAATTGACACGCAAAAGATATGCAGTTTTTCTTGATACAGGCATGTTTTAATTTGGGGTATACCTCTTAAACAGTGATTTGTATTTGGGCAGTGGAGTGTCCTTTTAAAACATTAAAAACATCATGGGGAGAAGTGGCGATTGAGCATGCATCCAAGTGCTTGAGATATAAAACCATGGAGAGCCCTGCTTTTTGTCAAACCGCAAAAATAGTTTGGCCTTAACTGTGAAAATGAAGCACATAGAACGGTTTGCATCATACCCATTTCAATGAGCTGTAATGGGTGTGGCGTTTTGGCAGGATTCCAAAAAAAAAAAGAAGATATGGGGGTATCTCTGTCTTTTATCTCGCTCAGCTTAATTGTGCATGCTGCAGTCTGTGGCAGAGTATTGGCTTCCAAAGTATTTATTAAGCCACGCGTGTAAGCTATGCATGGCCTAGTTAGAAAAGGTAAGTAACCAAGAACAGGTTATTAAACCTGTTGAGCAGCTTTCTTCTTCACCTTTGAAGTGTGAATTAAATATACTATTTTACTATTAAATAGACATATTTTTATTCTATTACTTGAGAATTAGCCTGGGCCAGTGCAAGTATTTTTATTTTTGCCTAAGCAAATTATAGTTTGCCACTCCTATGTCATATGTTTTCCTTAATCAAAGGATTCTAGTTTTTCTTCACTTCTTCACTTCTATGTTATCATTCTTTTTCTTATGGCTCACCCCCTTGTAATTTTATCTATCCCTCATGCCACCGGCATTTTAACCTCCATCTCTGCTCTCCGCTTTCCATCTTTCAGTTCTTTATACATTGTAATCCCACTATATTGCACTTACATTTTCTTGTTGGAGCTAATTAGGGTAGGTGACCTTCCTGAGACTACTTGTTTAAATCTGGGCTGCCCAACTGCTTGTGGCTGCCATACCTTCCACAGAGGCAGAAGTTCTTTGTGAACTGTGGCTGTAGTCAACACATGTTGCACATTCTCCCTTTCTCGAGTTTCCGGCTGAATTTTGGGCTGAGTTACAGAACTGATCCTAGGTGATAGGAACATTCCACCAGCAGCAACTTTTCTCGCTACAGGATGGAGAGAAACATAATTTCCGTACCGCCCGATTATGATGGCATTAATAATGAACATCATGGTGCCAACTATCAGTCAGCTCAGCTAACAGATAAATACACAACAAAACATTAAAATCAGTACTTTCCTATGGGAAATATGAAGATTTTATGCAAAGCATGAGGACGTCCAACGTTATTTCACAGAGTAAAACTTTGTTAGAGTCCAGAAAGCGCCTCTAGTGGCTGCATGGAAGAGAGCCACTAGAGGTTGTCTAAACAATTCCAAAATTTAGATCTACAATTCACAACAGAATTTAGTAATTGTGAAATCAACTTTATGAATGTTTATGATAGGTGAGAAGGGTAATATACTTCTACCTATAGGAAGACCACTACAAATTCCTTATAGGAGGTGACTAGCCATCATCCTTTTCCTCTTGTAAAAAGTATACCAGGAGGACAGTTTCTAAGGTTCCGAAAGAACTGTATAGATGTACAAAACCGTTTAGGCATAGATTAAGAAAGAGAAACTATCCTGAGTGAGCTATTAACTGAAGATTGAAATAGCTAAGAACAAAGATAGTAAGGGATTATTGCGAAATAATGAGAAACTGTGTATTAAGGATAGTTCTAGTCATGAACAAGTTTACTTTTCAACAGTTTTTAGTAGACAATTCTAGAGGATTCCAGCAACTGTTGAAAACAATCTTCCAATTCTGTGGGCGATGAAACTCTATCCACTGTGAGACACGACCTTAGCCGTGACGTGCTATGAAACTAATTTCAGCAGGAGGACTTTGTGGGTCCCAGACAACTTCTCCAGGGTTTTGAAACCCTTTGCATGCCGCCAGGAGAGCGCTTTTTGGAGGGAAGGTGTCTGAGACTAAGGTGAACAAACGCTAGCTGAGAGCCATGCGGAGCACCGACAAAAGCTCCAAACGCCCTGGAACTATTTTGGGCATAGGACCACTTGTGTGGCTCATCAGAATTTTAACACGGTGGCGTTTCCCCTACACTGCATGGGTCTGAGCGCTATTTGGAGAACTTGGGCGCTCAGATCAGGGCTATGGGGGATGTATAATATGTGGGGTTATTGTATGTTTTGGGGTACTTTTATGTTTTGTGTTCAGCTCTCTGTTCCTGGGAGATTATTAGGTCTTTAACTCAATTATCATCCAGGGCCAGAGATTCCTGGGAGACTCCATTGTGTTGAATACACATGCTGGAGTCTATGCATAAAAGGCAGAGTTTGGCTCATTAAAATCAGTTGTACACCCAGAATTATGTGTTGTCTAGTTACTCGGAGGGGAAGGGCTATTTACTGCTCAGCATCCTGTTCCAGCTCGTGGAGAATTCAGCCAGGAAAGTCCTTGTAAGGACTGTGTTGTCCAGTCCCTGGGAGGGAATAGAGCTAGTCTGCTATCCTGTTCCAGGATGGAGTGGCTCCAAGCCACGGCGCCTGGGGTAGAAGCGCTGTTGTTTTCCCCAGTTCCAGCTAGGAAGCGATCCTTGGTGGAGGAATCCAGCTGGCATACAGGGAATATTGAATATGTTACACATAAAGCACCTACCCTGTCACATAGATTGTGCCCTAATTTATACTTGAGCAAAGTATAAACTAGGAAAGAGCAAAGAATCAACTAACAGAAGTACTTGGCTTAAATATAATATTGTATATTTAATATAATTTATATTTATAAACGTGGGCACCATCTATGTGGCATTCCACAGAAATGTGTTTTTTTGTTTTTTTTTGCTTCTATAGGAAACAACACAACTTTTTCTATTAATACACACTTAAATTGTAACACAAGGTTTGTGGTATACCTGATTACACACATTTTAAAGCCTGCTAAGCGCAATATTTTTGGTAAAACTAAATGCAGACTAAAAGAATTACTAAGGTAACATTTGTATAAAATAGAGACAGGTAGCAGGATGTCTACAGGTAGTATGCATTTTTGGATATACGCAATAAGACACAATAAGAACAATTCCTGTAATTTAGCCAAAGCAAAAAATGCCACAAGCAAAGGGAATTTGCTGGCATTGAGAAAAGGCATTAAGAAAAAATAATAATAACGCAACTTAAAATAGCCTCTGCAGACTCACTCATTTGCAGGAATCAAAAAGTGCAAATTCAACCCACAGGAAAGTGAAGTTTCGGTTATTTACATGAAACATTTGAGGAGCTCACATGAAATGCCGCCATGAGGTGCAGGCCCCACAGACTTACACAGCTCGTTTTCTGTAGCTATCATGGGCTGCCCACAGTACTTACTAAGCAGTAGTTACAGCATACTAGGCAGGCAAGTAGCAAGGCCCCCACACTCACTCTTACAATACTGGCCGAGCAGCACTGCCAGGAATCAATCCCACCAGGAAGGCTTCCAGTTCCTGTGCGCAGTGCGCTGTAAGATGGGGACGGGATGTTACTTCACAACCCTGCCCCCTCCACGCACAGAGCAAGCACAGAGTGGGAAACAGGGGGAAGTCTGCTGTGAAGGCAGGGGTAGACTGCAGTAAGAACAAAGGGAGAGGAGATGGGATAAGGTAGAAAAAGGTACAAGTGGGGATTGAAGGATAAACACAACAGCTAGGGATTTAGAAGAGAAAAACAGAGTTGGGTAGAGGAAGACAGACATGGAGTTTGTGAAAGAGGGAGCAGCCTAATATGGAGGTAGTTTGTACAATATTGTAGTATATGACAGAGCAAGAACAGAATGTCAGGCACGCGGACTGCATAAGGAGCAGCTTCATGAGGTTTGATGGAGCGAAGTTGGTGGTAAGTATAGCGCTCGCGCTAGGGGTCAACTGCAGGGCTAGGATTAACGGCAGGGCAGCTCGCGCTGTTAGAAAGGCGGTAAGCTCGCGACCAGGGCATGAGCCCGGATTGGTAGATAGCCGCACGAGGACCACAATGAAGGGAAAATAAGTGGTATAAGTTTAAAGGCGCCAAAATTAATTACTTCAGCTTGTGCCTGACCAATCTGAAGGTTGGCTGTATTAAAATATTTGACCGCTGTTTCTGTTTTAGATCAAACCAAGTGTTTGCTTGAGTATCTTGCTGCCCTTGACAAAGATGGGTCATACCGCCGAAACACGCGTCGGTCTTTTGAAGCCATGAGCTGAAATTTTATCTGCACTTCTTTAGACTGCTAGACTCCACACCTATGTGGTTTAATAGTTAGGGGGACTTTCTGCCGGCTGAAATTTCCTTCTATCAGCTTACAAAAGGGACTCTCCTCCACTACCTCTCGCACTTTATTTTCAATCACCTCCAGCCTCCTGTCCTTTCGATTTCCTTCCTTTTGCTGCAAATTTTGTGTGGACTACTCCCTAGCACACATGGTGGTACTTTTTAGGGGTTTTTCCACTCTAGCAGCAGGGTTTAGGCTGTTAGCCCCCTCATATGTGACAGCTAGTATAGTTATTTACTGAGTTTAATTCTTTTAAGGACTCATCTGAATACATCTGTAAGCTGTCACTAGACGGGCTAAGAATTGCTGTATAACCATCTTTTGACTATTATTTGGCAGCTTATTGATAGGAGGTGTGTGACACTTAGGGACTCCATTATTTATGATTTATTGTTTATTACTTTTTATATATATTTTTTCTATTGGACTCGTAAAAATTTGTAAACCGAAACGCGGTTTCCCATAGGAATGCATTGAAAACCAATTAATCCGTTCTGGAGGTCAGAAAAAAGTCAAAATGAGCTGGCATGGAAACCAACCTACAATGCAGAACACAAAGTAAAAGGCATACAATTGACTAAGCTCAACTGCCTACCTTTCCACAGCTAGAGAAATGCACCAAAAAGTCCCAAAACAACTGCAAACAATTTCCATAATGGCTCCAAAACTCGATGCAAAAGCCACTTAACACCTCCACCCTCGATGCCACATGCTAACCACAGGCTCCAGCATGCAGGGGGTGGTGCTATAAACCTCCCAGGTGCAATGCATCCTGGGGAAATTTGCTTTGTATTGCGCAAAAAAGTTTGTAAACCGAGGCATTATTTTCAATGGATTTTCATTTGTAAACCGAAAATTATGTTAACCGAAAATTATGTTAACTGAGGCGTTTGTAAACCGAGGTCTCGCTGTATTTGAAAATTCTGCAGATGGTTGAACCTTCACCCTGGCTTGGTTCCAGGAGACTTGAGTTGCAGTATACTCTCTTAGTAACCACATGCTCACTGAGTTGCAACATTGTCACTTATTGCTGTCTATCTAGATTGCAACAGCCTGTGGTTACTTAATTGCAACATTATTTAGTTTTGTAAATTAGTGATTTGGATTCAACTCATGTAGGACCTTTATTCCTATAGACAGCGGTAGTACTCTATACTATTGAGATGCGCTTCTATGGGGACCTATCGGTCTCAACCAGAGCAGTTGGTCTAGCAGCCTTTTTTTCTTTTCACTTTTTAGACCCATTAAGGGGTCTTTCACTGACACACTATTTTGTGAGTTTTTTCCTCTCCCCCCCCTTTTTGATGATTAATAAAATGTGATTATTTTTATGTGCAAGTCTCTATAAAGTTTAACACATATGAGGTAGTACTGGGGAGGGGGCAGTTTTACTCCTCTCCAGTTTTTAGTTTTTCTTTCCAGTTGCTTGAATATCTGCCCCTGTCCAGATTGTTAGAAAGCATGCACGCTGAAGTAAATCACACAGACACAAGTTTCAGGTTAATGAAAGCTTCGGAAAGTTTAATCAGGGGTGCGGCAATCCCCTTATAAAGGCAGAAATACATCATATGCAGAAAGCAAGATAGCAGAGAGAATACATCTTTAATTGGTCGTGACCTTGTTATGGGATATAAATTGCCCTCCTGGTCATCACAGGAGGGTGGATTTGGTTTAAGATAGATTTATGGCTCCTGGCTTTGGAGGGAGGTAGAGCCTTTGGACGTTATGGTTAATATGTTGGTTTGGTTTAAAGTTATGGTTTATTATGATTTGTATGGTTATTGTTTAATTGGAATTATGAAATCCGTAATAAAGGTTCACGGCCATTCTCCAAGGTGTATTATAAAGTTATTAAATAAAATATTTTGATGAAAAAAGTTTGCTTGTGTTTCTTTATTTATGTATCACTAGGATTGCAACATTCAAACCTCAGGATTGTGAATGTTATTGTCAGGGTGTGTGTGTCAGTGTGTGTGTGTGTAGTGAGTGGCATATGCAGTGGATCAATGCACACATCCAGGGCTGGCGCGTCCATAAGGCCTTAGGGTGCACCGTCCAGGGGGCACAAATGTCCGGGTAGCCAGCAGGAGGGAAGGGCACAACACCCTCTCCTGCCGGTCACTTTTTGTAGCATGGCCGAGCGCCAACCTGCAGTGCCGCGGACTGTATGGAGGGGGCGGAGATATGAACACGTCATATCCCTGCTCCCTCTGTAGCACACAGCGCGGCTGGCGCCCAGCAGGGGCAGGGCTACCACCGGCCATCTTCTCATCAGCATGGGAGGAAGTCCTCCCAAAAAGACTAGAGCAGGAGAAGGCAGAGAGGAGGGGGCCTGGGCAGGAGCAGCTCCTCCAACTCCCATCTACCTCAGGCAGCACTCTGGATCCCAGGTAAGCCACCCTCCTGAACCCGCAAAGTAGGAAACAGGAGAGTGGCTAGAAAAGTGTATATTTTGACCAGCGTGTGTGTGTCTGTCAGTGTGTTTGTATCTATGTCGGTCTGTGTGTGTGTGTGTCTGTATGTCTGTCAGTGTGTGTGTGTGTGTGTGTGTGTCTGTCTGCCAGTGTGTATCTGTATGTCTGTCAGTGTGTATCTGTAGGTCAGTGTGTGTTTCTGTATGTCTGTCAGTGTTTGTGTGTATCTGTCTATCTGAATGTGTATCAGCTTGTGTATATTTGTATCTGTGTATCTGCATGTGTGTCAGTGTGTGTATCTTCGTGTATGTGTGTGGCAGTGTATATGTATATGTGCATACATCTCAGCATTCAAACGCCAACATTACACACAAATAAACACCTGCATTCAAACGTCAACACTACATACACACACCCCTGCATTCAAAATGTCAACACTACATACAAACACACCTCTGTATCAGACACCAAAATTATATATAAACACACCCCTGCATTCAAAAACCAACACTACACATAAATGCATGCTTGCATTCAGACGCAAACAGTACTTGCAAACACACCCCTACATTCACACAAATATACTCCATACAAACACATGCTTACAGTCAAACACACAAATACTGCTCCATGCGGCACCATGCTAAATACATTCCTGCAAGCATGGGGAATCTGTAGAGCCCCAGCTTTCAAAGCATTGTTGAAGTTGCACAACAGATGGGATCTATCTTTTAGCCACCCTGTGTACATACATAGGCGTGCGCAGCCTACTGCATTAGGGTGTGCACCCTAAAGCAATAGGCGTGCGCAGCCTATTGCATTAGGGTGTGCACCCTAAAGCACAAACACACATATACACATACACACATTTATACACTGCTGTGTGTGTGTGTGTGTGCGCTGTGTGAGGGTGGTTTGAGGGTGTTGTGTGTGTAAGGGTGCTGTGTGTGTGTGTGTGTGTGTGTGAGGGTGCTGTTAGTGTGATGTGTGTGTGCTATGTGTGTGTGAGGGTGCTTGTATGTGTGTTTGTTAGGGTCCTGTTAGTGTGCTGTTGTGTGAGGGTGCTGTTTCTGTGCTGTGTGTGAGAGGGTGCTGTATGTGTGTGATGTATGTGTGCGCTGTATGTGTGTGGGGGTGCTGTAGGTGTGTGAAGGTGCTGTATGTGTGAAGGTGCTGTATGTGTGCTGTATGTGTGTGCGCGCTGTATGTGTGTGCGTGTGCTGTGTGTGAGGGTGCTGTATGTGTGTGTGCTGTATGTGAGTGCGGATGCTGTGTGGGTGCTGTATGTGTGTGTGGGTGCTGTATGTGTGTGGGTGATTGTGGGGGGGTGGAGGTGGGGGTACATTACTTAATATCCCCCCTCCCTTCTTACCTTATGTAGGAAGGAGGATCCTTGTTCCTACTGCTTTCCCTGGTGGTCCATTGGAGAGTGAACTCTAGCCCCTGTGGGGCTAGAGTTTACTCTTGCGAGATCTGAGCGCTGCTGGTTGAGCTCCCCAGGTCCTCTCCTGCCTCCCTCCATGCTGCAGTGGGGAGGGAGGGTGAGAGCAGAGCCGGCGCTCGGATAGCGCCTGCTCTGCGCGAGCCGACAGGGGTGATCCTGAGATCTCCCCTCCCGGTCTCAATACATAGACGTGCAGCGGGGATTAGGGTGTGCCCAGGCACACTCGGCACACCCCGTGCGCACGCCTATGTGTACACACACAGACATACAGTCTGTATGTCTCTGTATGACTGTGTGTCTATATTCAAAAGGAATAAACTCAGGCAACACTCCAGTAGTAAGGATGGTATATTTATTGATAGGTGAACCACCCCATAGAGTGCAACGTTTCGGCTCAGCAGAGCCTTGTTGCATGATTAAAGCTCTGCTGAGTCGAAACGTCACACTTTCTATGGGGTGGTTCACCCATCAGTAAATATACCATCCTGACACGTTGTATCCACCACTGTGGATGGCCGGAGTATTTACACGGTATCAGTGTGCAGGGTTATTTGTTTGTCTGTGTATGTATGTCTCTGTATGCCTTGTCTGTATGTCTCTGTATCATGTTTGCATATGTATGTCTCTGTATCACTGTGTATGTATGTCTCTTTATGCCTATCTCTGTGTTTCTTTAGGTCTGTGTCTGTATTTCTCTGTGTGCCTGTGTCTGTAGGAATGTATGTCTGTGTTTGTATGACAGTGTACCTGTATGTGTAGATGGTATGACTGTTTGATTGTGTGCCTGTGTGTCTGTATATCTTTGTGACTGTTTGATTGTGTGCCTGTGTGTCTGTATATATTTGTGACTGTGTGTCTGAATACCTATGTCTGTATGCTTGCATGGTTGTGTGTCTGTATGTTTGTGTATTTGTGCATATATGTATTTTTGCATGTATCTATGTCTATATGGGAGAAAAAGAGAGATAGATAGGGGCTGTAGGGGGAGAAAGAGACAGAAAGGGGCTGGTGGTGACGTAAGAAATACATAAGAGGGGTTGTAGGAGACACACTGAAGGGTCCACAAAGGGGCCAAAGGGGTAAGACATTCAAGAGTAGATATGAAACACTAATGGGGGTAAGAAATTTAAAAGTGGGACTACAAGACACAGAGGTGAAGATGCATTTTTTGGGGGGAGAGAGGTGAGGGGGCGTCAAAATGCATCTTTGCCTGTGTAGTCAAAAATCCTTGCACCGGCCCTGCACACATCTGCTGCTTTTACAGAAGAACTATATTACAATTACAAAGGGGTTTTGAACAAGAACTTACCTGCAAGCACCAGCACTTAAATTCTGAGAATTCTCATTGTCCTGTGCTAAGTAGCTTGAAGGATACCTGTAGTCCTTTTTGAAAGAACATAAATGTTCATCTATAAATGGTACTAGCAGTTTGCTTGCAAATGTATAGATTGGGAGAAAAACTTATATAAATGTAGGGTTTTCTCCTAGATCTCAGTCAATGCCTCAGTGGACACTTATTGCCGAGGCATTGACTGACAAGGGACAGCAGAAAAGACCTCCAACAGGAGGTCCTTCTACTCTCCCATGCAGTTGCTGTGGAAACTCTCCAGCCAGCGCTTTGAGTGGCAGCTAGGGAGTATAGGAACAGAGTTCCATAACAATTCTCTATTCCAACGCCAGCAAGCTGGCAATGACCACAGAATGCCAGTGTCACTGGGAAGGTTTTCACAAAGAAGGGCAAATCAGAGAAGATCGGAGACCGAGAGGATTATGGCCCAGAGGTGGGCGTTACATGAAGAGTCATACCAACGAAGCTAGAAGATGTCAACACCTCAACGGAGGAGGGATGAGTATATCTCTATATTTTACATGGAATACATCATGTATCTTTCTTATATATGATGTATTTGATGTATATGGCTGCAACTTAAAGTAATTTTATTTTTCTTATACAGGTTCACTTTAAAGAAACACTTAAAGCACTTCAGCCTTCAGCTTCTTTGTAATTCTATTTTTTTTAAATGCAGATTTCAATGGAAATCAACACTTTTATAAATGGTCCCGGTTATACCTCCCTGGCTGTCAATCATACAGCTGGAGTTATTTCATATTCCTGGAAGGGGTCCTGGCAGCTTTCGACATCAGAATGGGAGGTTTTGAATTATGAGAGATAATGGATAAGAGCAGTGGCGTATCCTGGTTTTGTGCTGCCCTAGGCAGGACAAAACTCAGGCGCCCCCCCCCCCAGCGCGCCACCCCCACCCAACCCTTCCCTCCTGTCCCGCAGTCTAAATACACACACACATTCACTGACAGAAACACTCAGTAACAGACTCACTCACTAACAGACAAACACACA